TTCAATCCCCAGCTACCCCTCTCCACCAAAACAATAGCAACAACAAAATCAAAGATCCCTGAGAGGGATCACTTGGATCCCTGAAATCACTTGAATCTATTGCTTTCAAAATGTTCTTTTATTGAATGTGACTAAGAGGATACATAAGCAGAGTCACAGTGTGATAAATAAACTGGCTACTATACCTTATTAAAGAATATCGCAGCTGGGCACAGTGGCACATGCCTATAATCTCAGCAATTTGGGAGGCTAAGGTAAGAAGATTGAAGGTCGGAGGCCAGCCTCAGAAACTTAACAAGGCCCTAAGCAATTTAGTGAGACTCTGTCTCAAAATAAAAAGTGTTGGGGGGTAGCTCAGAGTTTGTAAAACACCCCTGGGTTCAGTCCCTACTTTATTGATCACATTCATTACTGAACAACTATTTCAAAACTTTCATGTGAAAAATGCCCCAAATACCTACTGTTAGGTCGGTGACAGTGACTTAGAACAAACCAGCCTGCATAGGAAAGGAACATCAATCAGGTGCTGGTGGAAACGCCTATCAATCAGCAGGATCTCCTGACATCCCCTGGCCAGTCCTGGAGTTCAGCCAGCTCTCCAGACCAACTCCAGCAGGACAAGGGACCTAAAAATCTCCTTTCCTGTTCCAAGCCCTATTTCTTCCTGCCATGAGCCCCATAAAATCCCAGTCCAGTCGAGCTCCCAGGCGGTTTCTCCTTAGACCCTCCTGTCCACTCTGTTGGTCTGATCGAGTTCCACCTGGGAGTGATATCTCAAATAAAGCCCTGTTTGGCGGCCTTTTAAAATCTGCCTCCTTTGGTTGCTGCCCGCCTCACCTGATCTTACACCTACAATAATACATCATGGGACTGGACTCTCAAGGACATATTTTACCTCCTATTTTAGGAAAGAAAAAGATTTCTGTTTCTCACCCTATATACTTCCTTATCATTTAAATTTAAGATAATGAAAATGTATTATTTGTATAATAATAAGGTGACAGAAACAATGAAGAAAGTATACCTGGAATGGAAAGGGGGAAGACCAATGTGTTTAAGATCAAGTTAAAACACTCCTGGGTTCAGTGCCCACTTTATTGATCACATTCATTACTGAACAATTATTTCAAAACTTTCATGTGAAAAATGTCCCAAATACCTACTGTTAGGTATGTAACAGAGGTCTATCTCTCACTTCAGATGGTAGCTAGGACTTGGCAACTTTGTCCATACTCTCTACCTGAATAAGCTGATTTTAAGCAACTGGGAAAAGTTGCCAGACAACTACCTCAACCAGAACCTTCTTAGTAAGAATAAACAGAGTTGCAGACAGTCATTCATAAAACTCAAATTGGAATTTAGTTCTCAGATTTTTTTAATTTTACTTTTTAGTTGTAGGCAGACACAATTTCTTTGTTTTATTTTATGTGGTGCTGAGGATTGAACCCAGGACCTCACACATGCTAGGCAAGCACTCTACCTCTGAGCCACAATCCCAGCCCAGTTCTCAGATTCTTAAATCAGGCATAATTAAATGCCTCTCTGCTCTTTCCCTAGATTGCAGATAGACTTGATAAGAAATTATAAAAGAAATCCAAACTATCAATAAATTAAGTAATAAGTACACTGTAACTCTCACACAGAGCTATTTAGGCAGCCTAGAAAAGGAAAACTTAACATACATATACACACAGTCCCCAAAACTACATGCCATTCAAAGGACAACTAGGCAAACCCTCTCCTGTGGAACTTGTGAGGCTGGAGTTCTGAAAAGCTTTGTTGTTGGAGTGGTTTAGGCTTGGGCAAACTACATTGGCAACACAGGTGGGAAGATTCAGTTCTTTCCTTTCTTAATGGGAACTTTACCTAAGTCTTCTGCTTTAAGTGCACGTTACAAACACCAAAAACATCCATTAGTTCAATCTTGTCCATTTTGAGCTGATAACAGAAATTACACCTCCACCTCCCATGTTCTTCCTCACCAAATTAACTACTAACTGATTAACACAGAAATTAAAATAACTAAATACAAACAATACCAACAGTTGTGTGATTTTTATAGCAGATTCTAGAGACTAATGAGCTCAACTGGTTCATCAACTAAGAAGTTTATTCCAAGCAGCAATGTTGCCGCTTTAGAATGAAATGCTACCACTTTCCGAAAACCCAGTCATTAAAAAAAAAAAAAAGAAAGAAAGAAAGAAAGAAAGAAAGAAAGAAAGAAAGAAAAAACATCTCCTTGACAGTATTATAGTTTCTTGGAGAAAGTTCAGGATGACTTGTTTTCTGAGACTTATTAGAGGCATTTTAAGTTCTTGCTTCATTGATTTATCTGATTTCCACAAGTACCATTCCTTGTCATGGAGCCTTCTGTGTCCTCCTGAGCACTACAGAGCCCCAGGGCTCTCTGACCTTTCAGCTGCAGGTTAATTACTTTCTTTCTTGAAATCCTCTACTCTTTTGACATCTGCCATCATCTAGCTGTCCTTTTTCTCTTTGGGTGGTCATTTTGTCTCCTTTGAAGAATTCTTTTTACCTTTCAAGCTAGTCACCCCAACTCAACAGTTAATCTAAAGTGTTTTATATAGAGGGGGCACAATATATGTTTGTTGAATTTTTTAAAATTCCCAAGCTCAAGCAACAAAATAAATAATAGT